TTGTCTACATCTATAAAGATCCTATTGATACTAATCAACCTATCTAAGCCTATCACACTTTGTTGACAATACATCATCTTCTCTTCATCCTTCTCATTCAATGTTTTTTTTTTTTTGTTTAATGCATCAACTAATTACTTCAATTTAGTTTTAACTAAGAACTCTTATTATTTAATATACTAATAGTTTTTTTTTTTTGCAGATTTTATTACCTTGATTATGAGGTAAATTTTTCTTTTAAATTAAACTTGTACTTTTTATTTTCTTTTATTTTAATAAAATCATAATGTGTACAAATGCATTTTTCTTTTCCTTTTTTTTTTGGGCAAAATATTGATCTCAAAATAAGGTTAGAATTTTCATTTTAATTTTATTTATGTTTATCTATTATTTCTTAAATTATTTTTAACATTATTTCATAAATATAATGTTGGGGACTTGATAGTTGTATTGAATTTTGTTTGATTATATATATATAATTTAATTAACAAAAAAAATTATGAATATAATTCTTAATTTTATTGAATTTTTATTTTTTTTTATGGCTACCCAAATATAATTGATAGCCATTAGATGTCGATTATAGTTGCATAATCAACAATTAATAGCTGTCAATAAATTATTTTTTTTGACAAAGTATAATCGATAGTCACATTGTCGATTATAGTTGAATAATTGACAAAAAAAGTTTTTGTCAATTATAATTATTTTCGATCACCGTTTATACAACAACTTTGGTTGTCAATTATATCTGTTAATTATAACATAATCGACAATATTTACTGTTGATTATACTTTGTTTTCTAATAATGTAATCCCGTTTTACTCAACATGTCGGTACGTATATATATATATATATATATGTATATATGCGGAAGGACTTTTCTTTTAATTTAGTGAAGGACAAGTGGAGAAAACGACCAGCCACCCAAAGAAAAGAACGTATGCATGCATAGGCAAGATGCCCTGTTTTTATTAATGTTGTTACGGTCTTTGAGTAATATATGGAATCAGTGGCTTAGGGTACTCTGTTGTTTGTCTTTGTTTCTGTTCGGGTGGTTTAATTATTGGACCCTGATTGGTGCACACCCGGATCCAACACCTGGGTGTGCACCCCCATATAAAAAAAAAAATTGGATCGGGTGGGTGATGGGCATTTTTTTTTTTCAAAGGGGAGTATGCACGGGTGTGCACATATCATTTTCCTTAATTATTACACGGAAATGTACAAGAAAAAATAATCCAAAAGTTTGGAACAATTCTAGACGAGCAAGAACCCAGGAGGTGCAGTTTCCGTAGACATGTTAATCACACCAGAGATTCCCCAAGACGAAGAGAACCAAAACAAAATGTGAAACTCCACACGTACATGCCATTTTGCCCCAAATTGTCATCTTTTCCGTTGTTCTAATTTGTTTATTTAAATAAGGAGAAAGTAATTGAGATTGATAAAATATTCGATCTAATTTTCATCCCCAAAATTTTAGTTTTTTAATTAGGTTCCTAGTAACAATTGTTAGTGGATGCATATTGATTCAGATGTTCCTTTCAAGAGAAGATGGTTAATCATGCTTTATATCACTGAAATTATATGGCTATTAGGGATCTAATTGTAAAAAAATAAAAATTTAAAGACTAAAGGAGTGTTTGTTTTGGTATTTCAAAAACAATTATAAATTATTGGTTTTAATCAATAGAGATTAAATATTTTAAATTATAAAAAAAAATAATTGACAACTATATTAGATATTAACTATTAATTATTAAATATTAACTTTTAACTATTAATTACTTCTAAACAGTTAATTCAAATACTCCTTAAAATTTAATCCGAGCACACACTTTTTTTTGGGTCAAGATTGAGTTCTCATCTCCTCTTTAAGTTGAATGTGTACATTATATAGGAGATTTTTATTAGACATATCATCTTGTCAACACCTTTTGCTTTGATAAAGGAGATCTCCTGATCAGTGAGTCGCACATGCTAGCCCAACTGGCATGTATAAGTCAAGCCCTTGAGACTTATTAGAGAAAATTGTAGACTTACATGTCGGCAATTTGATTAGCTAGGCCGCAAGCCTGCAACTAATTAATCTAAGATCCAGATCCATCTAGCTTGATTTATTGTATCTAGTTTTTGTCCAATTACGGACAAAATTAAAAGGAAGGCATATGTTGTTATTTTATTTAGGGGGATTATTTGAAAACTAAATTCATCTAGTTGTGGTATTTCCATATGCACGTCACATGGCTGCCTTCTAGGTAGCTGGCTAAGCTAACATTAGCACATTAAAAACTTTATATCGGCAATAAATGCGGTAGTAGTGTAAAAGAATCTTGAGGCCATGCCCCTAGGGCTAGGGAAGGTTCTTGTGCCCATTTTCCACCAGCCGACCTTTTTTCTTTTTTAAGTAAAAATAGATTTATTCATTAATAATAGAAAGTTACAAGAGTTGCAAGCAAACTCATTCGGTGTAGTACACCTAAGGCATTATAAAATTTAATTTTAAAATTATAAATACTTAGTAAATATATGATAATTAATAGAGTAATTTAAGGATTATAAAAATATTATAGTCAGACTCAGTTCTTAATGTGCAGAAAACTATAAATTAATATAATTTATAAGATAAAAAAATTAAAAGATAATTATCAAGATAATTTGCAACTAAAAACATTTCAAGGTGCTATAACGCGCACCTAAGGACG